CTTCAGGTTTTGGAAAAGGTATAGTTCCACGGGTCCACCATAAGCAGTTCCACTGCCCCCACATCTTCGGTGCTTGTCCACCCACTGCTCCCCAAACCCCCAGACCCCTGATCCCTTTATTGTCTCTGCAGTTTCGCCTTTTCCAGAATTTCAAGTGGCTGGAATCACACAGTAGGTAGTCTTTTCAGATTGGCTTCTGGCTTCTTTCCCTTACCAATGTGTACTGACATTTCCTCTGTATCTTTTCCTGGCTTGATAGCTTGTTTCTTTTTATCGTTGAATCATATTCATTTATCTGAATGCACCGCAGTTTATTTACCCATTCATTGACTGTAGGACATCTTGAGTGCTTAGACATTGTGAATAAAGCTGCTATGAAGCCTTATGTGGGCTGTTTGTGAACATACGCTTTCAAATTACTTGGATTAATGATACTTAAGAACACCAAAGCTGGATCACCGGAAAGACCATATTTAGCTTTGTAAGACGCCATCACGCTGTCTTCAACGTGGCTATACCACACAGCTGTGGTCGTTGTCTTAATTTGCAACTGAAAGTGAAAGTTGTTCAGTTGTGTCCGACTCTGTGTGACCCCATGGGCGAAACAGTCCATGGAATTCTCCAGGCCAGAACACTGGAGTGAGTAGCCTATCCCTTCTCCAGGGGAGCTGCCCAACCCAGGAATCAAACCAGGGTCTCCTGCATTGCAGGCGGATTCTTCACCAGCTGAGCTACCAGGGAAGCCCAATTATCAAATGACAAATGATGTCCAGCATCTTTTTAGATGCCTGCTTGCTATCTTTATGTCTTCTTGGGTGAGATGTCTGTCCAGATTTTGCCCATTTTAATGAAGTTTTTCTTTTCCTTGTTGTTGAGTTTTAAGAGATCTTTGCATATTTTGGATACAAGCCTTTTTGTCAGATCTGCATTTTGCAAAGGTTTTGTTTTTAAAGACATTGTCTCTCATGATAAGACTGCTTTTCAGACGGCATCTGGGAAGTCTGCACTGCTCATGAAGGGGCCCACGAGGCACGGGCACAGAGGAAGGAAGAATTCGCATTTTTCTCCGTGAGAAACTGCGCTGGGCCCAGATGCATCCCTGGCCCACACAGGCTGCCAGGGCAGGTCACCGCTGTCTTGTTTATGTCAGAACAAGACGGAACTTTGGGACCATTTACAGTTTGTCTGAAATAGCAACTCAGTGCTATGACTTCATTTTAGTTCTTCTTGGTGACCTTAATCATGTAAAATAGGCTATCCCAGGGACTTCCTTGGTGGTCCAGTGGCTAAGACACTGCAGTTCCAGTTCGGGGGCCTGGGTTTGATCCCAGGTCAGGGAACTAGATCCCACTTACCACAACTAAGGGTTTGCATGTCGCAACTAAAGATCCCGCATGCCACAGTGAAGATAGAAGAACCTGAGTGCTGCAACTAAGACCCAGCGTGACCAAATAAATAAACAGTTTCTAAAGTTATCCCCGACACTCTGTTACGTTTGCTCTGCCTCCTCCCCCTGGGACCTTCTCCCCCTATTACCAAGGCTCCTTGAGCACCGAGGACAGAACCTGGGGCTTGATCACCATGTGTTGAATGTTTAAAAATGAAAGAATGAAAGTATACTTTGCTTGGTCCCACAGAGAGGGGAGGTAACAGCTGATTCATTTCAGAAGTGTTATTAACAGCTTTGAACAAAACTCGGGAGGTTTTGAGCTCTGCCAAGCACTGCAGGTGTCGATTCACTGAGATTTTCTATTTACCTGGAATAATGATCAAACAACAGGAAAAATGAAAGACCCAGAATCAACAGCAGCATTTTCCTTTTACAGTTCATTGTCTCCTAGAGGAGAAGGAGAGAGAAGTCAGTTTTAAACAGAGTTGAAAACTTCTGCCGCCTCCCGATGACGGACTCATGGACTCATTCAGACACACTGGGGCACCAACCCAGGCGTCTGGTCCCAGGATGCTCAGCCCTGGGGAAAGGGTGGGGAGACAGGGACATCCCTTCTCCACTAGGGTCTCCTGGGGGTGCTGGCCACTCCTTTGGGGACTGAGTGCCGTCTTGGATACCCCTGGGCCTTATCAATGTCCACCTTGGCTTCGTAAAAGATGTGTGACGGAGTCTCCACTCGAGAGCAGCAACAGCAAAGTGAGGTTGTGGCGAGGATGCAGTCCGCCCCCAAAGTCGACCTCTCCCTCCTTCTCCCCTAGAGATAGTAAGATGCACCATTTGCCCCAAGACTACAGCAGGCTAAGAACACGTGAGCCTTCTCCAGACAGACGTTGGAGCGGGGATTAAAACCTGAACGAAAGGCGCCAGGTGCTAACACGGAAACTTTGGCTCTAGCCAGCACCGGGGTTTATGTCACGTGTTCTACGCGGAGTCACTGTGCGCATGTCTGCAGGGCTATGCGCTATGCACTGGGAAGAATGGAGACGCTGATATTTCATTGCCAGCACCTGGTTAGCCAGCATGCAGCCTTAGCTTGCACGGACCAGGAGAGGGGCCACGTGTGGCTGTCAAGCACGTGAAATGTGGCTGGTCNATTCATAACGATTACACGGGTTTACTGACCTAAGCACAAATGTATGACGAAATGTCCTCTGTCTATTTCTTTTGATCTCCTACTTTGAAAACCAGCAAAGGCTGGTTGTACCCCAGCTGGACACCGGCCAGGCTTCCACTGCCCCACAACATGGCACTGCCTCCCCCACCCCCACCCCCGTGAACCCAAGCGTATTAGCTATGCTACATGGGCAGGGTACCACTCGGGGGGCGGGGGGCGGGGGTGTGGTTCTCCAACACAGTGTCTCAGCGACAACACTCCCGAGGCAGGTGCCGAGGCAGCTCACCGGGTTGGATGCTCTTCAAGCGTCTCTCTTTGGATCTCTCTTTGTAGAGTCCCAGGCTAGACACCAAGGTAGGCTCGAGGGGTGTTGAGCCTTCCGTGGGTGGTGATGTCAGCACCCCCTTTGATGATGTAAGCCCCAGAAAGTCGGGGTCACAATGATGCCTCTGCTGCCTGGGGCTCCTCAGGGTTGCCGGACAACAGGACTTTGTCCTGTTTGAAAAACTAAAGGGTATTTTTTTTAATATTTATTTATTTAGTTCCATCAGGTCTTACTTGTGTCATGATAGATCTTCGTTGCATCGTGCGAAATCTTTCACTGCAGCGTGAGGACTCTTTAGTTGCATCATACAGGCTCAGGAGTTGCAGCGCACGAGCTTAGTTGCTCCAGGGCAGGTGGGATCTTAGTTTCCCAGCCAGGGATCAAACCCACCTCTCCTGCCTTGAAAGGCAGATTCTGAACCATGGGACCAACAGGGGAGTTTCTTACTTTAAATTCTCTTTTGCATCTCACTTCCTCTGTCATCCCTCCCTGCTTCCTAGAGCCTGACTTTTCAGGGAGGAGTTTTAAGTAGTCTGTTCATGACTGTGTTAGAGAAGAGCGGCCCTCTCCTCCCTCATCTCCAGGCTGTGGACTCCCCCAGGGAGAGCAAACCCTTTGCTTGTCAGCGTATTTTTTAAGTACATCTTTCTGATTATAGAAATAACACACTTCAGGTTATAAGATCTGTCAGATGCGCTAAAGCCTCTGGGGTGTGGGATGGGGCCGTGTGTGCACACACACAAGTGTGTGCACGTGTATGCTTTGACACATGTGCATGTCTTTGTGTAGGTACTTGGGTGTCCATGTCTGTCATTGTTCCTGGAGCCGAACGTCCATGGCTGCATCTCGATGGGAAGGTGACCTGGCAGGCACAGGGGTGAGGGTGGTGGAGAGAGGCCGTGGACGCTCCTCTCCCAGGCTCAAGAATCCAGCCCCTTCCAGCAGCCCTGGAGGGCCCTTCAAGCAGGCATCACCCTAGACAGAGTCACGGGGCCCCAGCGCTGAAGCACCGAGCCCCCTGCTTGTCCCGTGGGGTCGTAGACGCCCTGACCCCGGGAGGCATGTCAGAGCCGTGTTGTGGTCACAGCCGTCCTCGGTGACAGAGCCTGTGACCTTCCAACCAGATCCTGGGGGCTGTCGGTGTGCAGGGAGCGCTTCTGTGAAGCAGTGCCTCCCGCCCGGCCTACAGGAAACTGGCTCGTGGACCAGAGGCACCAGCTCTGTCCCCGCCATCCCCTGTCCTCATGAGGATGGGGACAAGCTGCCGGAGGCTGAAGGTCCGGCCAGGGCAGGCCGGGCAAGCCCAGAAAACAGGAATAAGTCACAGGTGGCTGATGCAGGAACCCCACTGAGCAGGAAGGATTCCATGTAGGGGTTGGGCTCGGCTTGTCCAGAGAGGCAGGGAAGGCCAGCGACTGCGGGGTTAGGAAGTGGGCCAAGAGGGGCTGGTGAGACCCCTGCTTGTCATTTGCTGTTTGTCTAGTGTTAGCATGCCCCCTTGGAGCATGGCCCTCCTGAGAATCGGTGCTTCACTCTAATCCTAGAGCCTGGACATAGTAGGTGTTCAATTAAAAAAAATTTATATCAACACATAAACTCTGTCTGTTCTCTAAAATAGGACTTAGTGCCTGTTGCCCGAGTTGGTCCAGCTCAGCCTGCACCCTGACCACCAGCCCGCCTTGTGCCCGGATGTACCAGGGCAGTGAAGACCTGTCCATCGAAGCTTAGGACCCTGACCTGCACGCGTGGTTGCCAGGACCCCTCAGAGCTCTGAAATTAGAGCGCCCAGGCCAGGCTGGGCTGGAAGGGGTGCCGTCTTCTGCCACTTGCATCCGATGGCTCAGAGAGGCCCCAGCGCCACCCACCTCTGTGGCTGGCAGGGCTTTAGGCCAAGACACCAACCTGTCCCCACTTCCCTTTGCGACTTCAGACCCAGCCAGGCCCCCATCTGGGCGGCAGTCAGAGCCAGCTGTCGCCTGCGGAGGACGGGGGCGGCTTTTGGCAGAGCTCCCAGTAAGCGGAGGCCCGTGCGGAGGACGCAGAAGAGCTGGAGCCGGAAACCACGGCGCAGGGAGGGAGATAAAGGCGGCGGGCAGCAGGCAGGCTGGGCGCCCACCCACTGGAGGGCATGGCGCTGCTGCTGCTGAGCCTGGGGCTGGGCCTGGTCTGCGCCCAGGATTTCAACACCCAGCGCATCGTGCAGACGAACTATGACATTTCCAAGGTGGGGCTGCAGTCCGGGCCCTCCCCGGGCGTCTGGATGCAGGGCGCCTGCACCTGGGGTCTCCCACTGTGACAAGCTGCTGTCCCTCGGGGTCTGCCTCTCTCCCCCAGCTGCGATGGCAGAGAGGGCTGGCTGGGTGGGAGCTGCATGCCCAGGGCCTGGCCCCGGGAGGGAGCAGGCACCCAGAAGTGAGGACGCCTGCACCCACCGCAGCCTCTGTCCTCCAGGTCTCTGGGACCTGGTACTCCATTTCCATGGCCGCAGACAACAGGAAGCGGATAGAGGAAGGCGGAGACCTGAGGATCTTCATAAAGAGCATTCAGGTCGTAGAGGATGGTGGGCTCAAGCTCAGTTTCCACTTTATGTGAGTGATGTCCCCATCCTCTGGAACTGGGGAGCACGGAGGCCCGCGCCCACCCTGCCCCCCTGCAGTCTCACCCCCGCCCCCACCCATGTGGATGGGAGTCTGGCCCAGCTGGGGGCGGGGGGCGCTGTATGTGGGGCAGGGGCCACCAGGTGGGGGGCAGCAGAGTGCTGAGGCTGGGGCAGGGGTTCAGGGGACGTGGTGACGGGGCGGGGAGGGGTTGGGGGCCACTGGTCACGTGCAGTTGGGTGAGGTCGCGCTGTGGGCATCACCCGCTGGGGTCCAGGTTGCATGCAGAGTGCACGGACGTGGCCGTGGTCTGCAGCAAAACAGGCAAGAGCGGGGAATACACCATCAACTGTAAGTGGACCCTTGTCTGACAGCCCCACTCCCAGTGAGCCCCAATATAGGGGTTTATGGGACCCCCTGACAGCCGACCCCAAAGCGAGTGGGGTGGGCCTGGCCTGTAAAGGGCGGTGGGAGGGCCAGCCAGGGGCGTGCGCGTGGGGAGCTCTAGAGCATCAGGGGTCCTCGCCGGCCCCTGCACCCTCGAGAGTCTGTGCTGCGGGCCCCAGGGGCTGCAGGCTCTGAGCAGAGATTCTGCGCAGACCTGGGAGAGAACAGCCTGCGGATCCTGGAGGCCGACTACCAGCGTTACGTCATCTTGCACATGCGGAACTTCAGGAATGGGACGGCCACGCAAGTGCTGGCGCTCTACGGTACTGCGTCCCGGGGCCCCTCATCCCTGCCTGCAGGCCAGCCAGGGGCGTGCGCGTGGGGAGCTCTAGAGCATCAGGGGTCCCCGCCGGCCCCTGCACCCTCAAGAGTCTGTGCTGCGGGCCCCAGGGGCTGCAGGCTCTGAGCAGAGCTTCTGCGCAGACCTGGGAGAGAACAGCCTGCGGATCCTGGAGGCCGACTACCAGCGTTACGTCATCTTGCACATGCGGAACTTCAGGAATGGGACGGCCACGCAAGTGCTGGCGCTCTACGGTACTGCGTCCCGGGGCCCCTCATCCCTGCCTGCAGCCCCTTCCCCGGGGAGGTGCGGGTCTGGCCACGCCCTGAGGTGCCTGCATCCCGTAGCATCGCGGGGCGGGTGCCCAACTCGTCCAGGTGCCCCATCTTGCCACTCCTTCCCCTCGCCTCCCCTCCCCACACGGCCCAAACTGTTCTGTCCACAGGACGGTTCCCAGAGCTGAAATACAGCTTCCTGGACAGATTCAACAAAGCCTGCAAATCACATGGACTTGGCCCAGAAAAGATCATCCCCTTCAGCAACCAGAGTAGGTGTCACTGCCTTCCATACCAGCATCCTGGGCCAGCGAGGCACTGAAGGGGATGGGGGGGTGGGGACAGGAGCCCAGGGCCTGGGGTGGGGCGGGGACCCCAGGCAGTCCCTGTCTGAGAACCTGACTGTCTTCCCAGATCCCTGTTACACGAGGTAGAGGCGCCCATCCAGGCCTTCTGGTGCGTGAGCTCGGCTGGGGGCTGGCCAGGTGGCAGAAGAAGCCAGAGGGACGGTGGGGGCCCCCTCTCCAAGCCCATCCCTCACCCTGCATGCAGGGGTCATCCCGCCCCCAAAACAGGGAGCCTCCTGGGGTGGTGGAGGCTTGGCAAACACGCCTGCCTCCAGGTCTGGGGTGGCTGTAATGCTGGGCTGCAAACTGGGCCCCAGAGAGCAGCAGTTCATCTTCTTGCAGTTCTGGAGCCCAGAGTCTGAAATCCAGGCGTGAAAAAGGCTGAGCTCCCTCTGGAGGCTCCAACGGAGGGTCCCTCCTGCCTCTCCCAGCTCCCCCGGCCCGTGGCCGCATCACGCAGTCTCAGCTCCTGGTTGCACTGCTGCTCCTCTGGGTCCGTGTCTCTCTCCTTCGGTTTCTTTTGAGGACATGTTGTTGGAGTGAGGACCACCAGCCTTCTCCAAGACAACCTCATCTCAAGATCCTCACCCTCATTCCCTCTGCAGAGAGCTCTTCCCTAAACAAGATCCCGTTCCCAGGTTCTGGACGCTGAGATCTGAGGGCAGACGTATTGTTGGGGGGCGGGGGTTGGGCAGGGACTGTCCACCACACACAGGCTCCTTCTCCAGCTGACCTTCCCTCTCAGGAAACAGCCTGGCCCCCGTAAGCTCACCCCCTCCTCATGCAGGGACTGACCCACCAGAGCATCTCTTCTGAGAAGCAGGAGCCTGCAGGCCCCTCTGATGGGGGTCTGTGAAGTTTGGGGGGAGAGGTCCCCAAGGTCGTCAACCAGGCCATGAGCCTCTCCATTCCCTTCCGATACCAGTGACCCCTGCCTTCACCCCAACTCTTGGTGGGTTCACTGGGAGGTCCTGAGCAGCCCACAGTTGCTTCATGGGTTAAAAGTTGACTGTCCACTGGGCATCCACCCAAGAGACGTGAGATCATGTCCACACCACGACCTCTGGGCAGCTCTGCCCAGCGTCCCCCAACTGTGACAGCCCGGGGCTCCCTGCAGGCCAGCAGCTGAACAAAGTGTGGTCGAGCCACACACCAGACGCCGCACAGATGATGGGCCTCCAGGGATTCGGGCTGAGTGAAAGCAGCCAACCTCCAAGGCTCGGTCTCCCAGTGACAAAACCGCAGCCATCTCAGGGGGCAGTGGCGGGAGGGGCCCTGGAGAAGGGCAGGGCTCTCATGGGCCGGAGGCTCTGGGCAGCGGCGGACATGGGTGCCCAGCAGGAAGGACAGAGAATCTGCAACGGTGGGGGGTACCCACTGCAGCATGGGTGAGGGTGGCATGCTGCCCCACGGCCCTGCAGGAAGTCGGCATCAGGAGAGTGGACGAGGGGGACCGGGAGCTCTCTGCATTCATTCTCACACCTGCCTGTGAATCTCCAGTGCTCCAAAATAAAAGGTTAAAAAGAGAGAGTTGGTCCTTGCTTCCCAGAAAAAGTTACTAGGCTCCTCCCCTCCCCAGGGCCTGGGGTGCTTCCCACCAGCCCTGGCCTCACGGGGACCCAGCCCCCGCCACCCCCCAGGCCCCTGTCCCCACCCCAGGGTTCCCTCCGCCTCCCCAGACTGCCCTCTGAATAGGGACCAGACTACCCTCATGTGCTTGTTCAACACCTACCCACCTGCAGGGCAGCTCAAGGGAGAGCTGCAAGGCCGGGTGGGGGGGCACCCCCCAGGGTGAGGAGGAGTCGGCCCCATCCCTCCCTTTGCATCAGAGCACAGCCTGAAACCCTCCCCAGAGCCTGCTGCCCAGGAAACCTCCCAGATGGGGGCCAGGGCTGCTTGGAGGACCAGGAAACGCACCCCGCCCAGCACCAGTGTCTGTTCATAGTCGCTGAGTCAGCTGCCCTGGGAACGGGCCCCAGGCAGTGGGAATGGAAAGCTTGAGTCCCTTCTTAAGGAGCCAAATGCAAGGACAGGGAGACCATCTGGATGGCCTGGAGGCCGGGGCAGCCCACACTCTCAGGAGCCCAGCCTTCAGCTCCGTATCTGGAGCCCCACTCCAGCCTGCTGGGCCATGGCAGGGGACATGTAGGAAGCTGCCCACGCGGCTGGGGCCTGCTGGTGTGGAAAGCTGGTGTCTGGGGAGAACTGGGGCTGCTCAGAAGGACGCTTGGGTGGTGGCTCATGACTCCAGACCACGGGGAAGCAGTACCTGCTCCAGAAGGAGGCTCAGAGGGGAGCTGAGTCCAGAGCAGGGTGTCCCCAAGCTGCTGGCTGTCTGAGCAGGGCTCTGGAGCTCTGTGTGGGACTGGGGCTGCCCACTGCCCAACCAAACCCAGAGACCCCCAGGTGGAAGGAAACAGGTGCAGAGGGCAGGGAAGTTGGAGCCCACACGGCCCACGGTCAGAGCACAGGGGTGTATATCCGGAGGAAACTCTAACTTGAAAAGATACACGCAGCCCAGTGTTCACTGCCTCACTGTTTACAGTAGCCAGCACACGGAGGCAATCTAAGTGCCCATCCACAGATGAGTGGATAAACAAGATGTACACACATACAGTGGAATATTTATTTAGCCATTAAAAAGAACGACATAATGTCATTTGCAGCAAGATGGATGGACCTAGAGATTATCATACTAAGTGAAGTAAGAAAAAGATAAGTATCAGATGATATCTCTTGTGGAATCTAAAAGAAATAAATGAACTTATTTACAAAAGAGAAACAGACTCACAGGCATAGAAAACAAACTTGTGGTAACCGAAGGGGAAAGCAGGGTACAGAATTGAGCGGTTTGGGATTAAAACATACACTCAGCAATACATGCTGCTGCTCAGAGGCTAAGTCGTATCCAACTCTCTGTGACTCCACGGTCCGTATCTGCCAGTCTCCTACGTCCATGGGGAATTCTGGGCAAGAACACTGGATTGGGTTGCCATTTCCTTCTCCAACAACTATATATTAGAGACATGGGTTTGATCCCTGGGCCGGGAAGATCCCCTGGAGGAGGGCAAGGCAACCCACTCCAGTATTCTTGCCTGGAGAATCTCATGGACAGAGGAGTCTGGTGGGCTACAGTCCATGGGGTCACAAAGAGTCAGACACGACTGAAGCGACTTAGCTGCATATATTAGACAGATAATAACTAGGACCTACGGTATAGCACAGGAAGCTATATTCAATACCTTATAATAATCTACAATGAAAAAAACTGAAAACATAAATATATAACTGAGTCATGTTACTGCCCACCTGAAACACTCTACACTATACTGCAATTTTTTAAAAACTAAGTAAGCTGCTTGGGGACGGTTCAGTTCAGTTACTCAGTCGTGTCTGACTCTTTGAGAGCCCATGAACTGCATCACACCAGGCCTCCCTGTCCATCACCAACTCCCGGAGCTTACTCAAACTCATGTCCATGGTGTTGGTGATGCCATCCAGCCATCCCATCCTCTGCCGTCCCCTTGAACAGTATGAAGAGGCTTGAGGACAGTAGGTAGAAAAGACATCCGGTTGCCCCAGAGTGCCAATGGGGTCTTAAACAGGAATGTTTTTCTCAGCATCTATATTCATTCTACCTGTTACGATTTTGAAAGATTTTGTTTTCAGGAGAGGACACTGGGAGGCCTGACAGACCCCAGACCCCAACCCTGCCCCACGGGGCCCCACCTGAAGATGCCCATTGCCAAGGCGGCCGGGCCAGAGTCAGGCACCCGGAGCATTGGAGTGGATGCTGGCGGCAGTTTTGGAGGCTGGGTCTGGCAGGGGCAGGGGGCGTTGACATCCTGAGCTTCCTGGACTTGTGAGCAGCGGTCCCCGGGACCCACGCCCACTGAGCTGCATGAATCACTCCTGGACGGGACTCTGCCAGTCCAGTGCAGGTGTGGGAAGACTCCAGGGTGGGGGCAGCCTCAGGGGCCTATGGAGTGCGGCGGCTCAGACCACAGGGCCAGCCGGGGGAGGGCAGGAAGGACGGACGGCTGAGCCCTCCCGCCCAGCCGGGCAGGAGGCATCCAGGCATGCGGCTCTTTCATCCCCGACTCCCCACACCTTTCCTCTCCGGAAGGGAGCAGCCTTCTCTCTTGGCCTCAGCCAGCAGAAGGCAGGAGGAAGGACCCTCTGGAGGGCTTTGTCCCAACACGGAGCCGGCCCGACGGAGCCGGCCGGACGGAGCCTCCTGGCAGGGCAGGAGCGGGACAGGAGAGCAGGGCCCCGCTTGGGCAGGTCTATGGGCACAGAAGGTGCCACAAAGCCCTGTGTAGGGGGAGAGACCAGGAAACAGAGGCCAGCAGCCCCAGGGTCATGCCTGAGCTCCGGACACCTCCCTGGAGACACGGCTGCTAGAAAGAGGGCTGAGGTGGAAAGGCCTGGGTTTGATCCCTGGTCAGGGATCCAGACGCCCCATGCCACAACCAAGAGTTCACATGCCCACAACTGAAGATTCCGCATGCTGCATCTAAGAGCCAGCACAGCCAAACAGATACAGCCTTTTTCCAAAGATGAAGGGCATGTCAGCAACCACAAGCAGGACCCAAAGGCCTGACACGCACTGAACTGGAGTCTTGTGGAGAGCAGGGAGTGACCCAGGCCAACACATGCACACCCCCGAAAAACCACCAGAACATTTTAAGAAATAACGGGGGGAAAAAAACCCAAACTTGATAAAAAATAATGTTTGGATTCGAGACACTCGACAAACTCCAAGCAATGCAAAGCACTGTCGGGCCCGCTGACACTCAGACGCACGCAGGAAAGCCTGGCTTCGCTTTTCCTCCGGAGGATGAGAAACTGTCCCTGGAAAGTGCCGGCAGGGTAAACAGACCTCGAGCCCGAGTTCTAANTCAGTCCTGGGTGTTCATTGGAAGGACTGATGCTGAAGCTGAAACTCCAATACTTTGGCCACCTCATGCAAAGGATTGACTCATTGGAAAAGACCCTGATGCTGGGAGGGATTGGGGGCAGGAGGAGAAGGGGACGACAGAGGATGAGACGGTTGGATGGCATCACCGACTTAATGGACATGAGTTTGAGCAAACTCCGGGAGTTGGTGATGGACAAGGAGGCCTGGCATGCTGCGATTCACGGGGTCACAAAGACTCAAGACACGACTGAGCGACTGAACTGAAAGGACTTCCAAATTGAGGGCAGGAGGAGAAGGTGGTGACAGAGGATGAGGTGGTTGGATGGCATTAATTTGAGCAAATTGTGGAAGATGGTGAAGGACAGGGAAGCCTGGCGTGCTGCAGTCCACGGGGCTGCAAAGAGCTGGACATGACTGAGCGACTGAACCACCACCACCAGAGAGGACTTCTACGGGCAAGAGTCAAAAGTCACAAGGAACCCAAACGCCCACTGACAGCAGGATGATCTGAGGAACAGCACAGAAGGGGTCGGCTCGGCAGTGAGGAAGGGCCGACCACAGCTCCGTGCGACGCAGGGTAACGTGGGTGCACCCATGAACACCATCCACCCTGGAAAGGAAGACGTAAAACTACCTGTTTGCAGATAACATAATCTTACATGTAGGAAAGCCTTAAAGATCCTACCAAAAAAAGTTTTAGCACTAAGAAAAGAATTCAGCAAACTTGCAGGACACAAAGTCAGCACTGTGTGTGTAAAAATCCACTGTGTTTCTGTACACTGACAATAAACAAAATCTGCAAAGGAAATTGTGAAAACAATTCCATTTACAATAGCATCAAGAAGAATGAAATACCTAGAAATAAACTTAACCAAGGAGACAAAGACTAGGACACTGAAAATCACTGCTGAAAGAAATTAAAGACGCAAATAAATGGAGACACATTCTAGGTTTGTGAACTGGAACACTTAACATGGTGGAGATGTCAGTACCACCCAAGCCAGCAGCAGTTCATTGCAATCCCTATCAAAATCCTAAAGTTTCTTTTTTTTTTTTTTTTTCAGAAATAGAAAAACCCATTTTAAAACTCATATGGATCCCAAGAAATAGAAAAGCCCTCTTAAAAATTCTTATGGGATCTCCAGGGATGCCAAGTAGCCAAAACAACCTTGGAAAGCAGGGCAGAGTGGAAGACTCACACATCCTGATTTCAAAACCTACTACAAAGTGACAGTAATCAAAACAGTGTGGTACTGGCATAAAGACAGATTACAGAACAATGCAGCAGAACAGAGGGATCAGAATTAAACCTTCACTTTTAGGGTCAGATGATTTTTGACCAGGGTGCCAAGACCACTCAACAGGGAAAGAACAAACAGTGTTGGGAAAACTGGATCTCCACACGCAAAAGGATAAAGGTGGACCCCTAACCTTACATACATACAAAAGTTAAACTCAAAATGGCTCAAACATAAGAGCTAAGCTGTAAAACTCTTACCATCTCTACCACTTGTAACTGGACGGCCCAGTGGCATCAAGCACTTTTGCGCTGTTGTACACTGCGT